AACAGCCAAACTGCTGAACTGCAGTCAGCTGAAGTAGCCTGCAGTGCTGCATTTAACCACTGCGCCACCGTGGCTCATCTAAAATCTAAAATACACCGTCTCAGAAAAAGCCCTTCCCCACCCTCCTTTATTCGCTTCCATATTATCCTGTGAAATAGTTTAGCCTTCGATGGTGCAATTGGTGCGCCATGATTTAAATGCGTGACTACCCCACTCCATCCTTCAACAAATCAGGCCAAAACCAGAAAAGAAACTTGCTTTGCAGTGGAAATTTTAGACTCAAGGGGTAGTAAGTCGAGTATTAAGATATGTAGGCAGGTACAGACCAAATACTTATTTTCCACCAATATTTGCACAAAAATTCTTTCCAAATCAGACAATGTGATTGGATTTGTTTTCTCATTTTGTCTCTCATAGTTGAGGTCTACCTATGATGTCAATTACAGGCCTCTCTCATCTTTTTAAGTGGGAGAACTTGCACAATTAGTGGCTGACTAAATACTTTTTTTGCCCCACTGTATAAGGAATCTATTAGCGCCAACAACTCAATCTTAAGGAACTACTTTAGTAAATAAAATTTGAGGCAAAATTAAAACAGAGTACATTGTGAAATTAAAACATCCAGACTAGGACCCACCAGTAAGACCCAAAAGAAACAATCAATGACTGAGCTATAAATAGTCACTAAAATTACATAAAATGTAAAATTACAAAAATACGATTTCTAAAATTTACATGGAGTGCGATAATATCTAAAGTTGTATACAGTTTGGTAATATCTAACATAACTTCTTTGGAGCAGGAGCTTGACCTATCAAGGTCCAGATCTTCCATGTTTCTATCCAAACCTAGCCATATGCACTGCAATAAATGGCAGCTCATCTAGGCATAGGCCAGAGCAATCAGGATTACTAATCAGAGGAAGAATGGCTCTACAAAAGGAGCAACAAAGAACGTGTTGTGGGGTTCCACGGTGCTGCAATGATTAGAATGCAGTATTGCAGGCTAACTTTGCCCACTGCCAAGAGTTCAATCCTTGACTCAACCTTCCATCCTTCTAAGGTCAGTAAAATGAGAACCCAGATTGGTAGGGTCAATATGCTGGCATTGTAAACTGCCCAGAGAGTGCTCTAAAGTACTATGGGGCAGTATATAAGTCTAAGTGCTATTGCTATTTCAGCTCTCCTGAACCACACTTGTACTATTTTATGTTTGCCATCCAACACTGCAAAGAGAAGGGTATGAGAAGAGAGAAAAATCCTATGATTGTGTGACAATGCATTATTGATGCATCTATTGATGAGAGGAAGGCTGGGGTCATCTTAGATTTGCCTGTATTATCCAAGCAAGCAAAATAAAAGTCAATAAGATGCATTCTACTGTTTTGCTCAGTCTAGCCACTAGCTTAATCTCAATTTTATATGGTTCCTCTGTATTTTCAATTAGAGATAACATATAAACCTTTAAAGGATTGTAAAAGCTATGTAGGATTGAATTGGTTGAGTGATGCATAATCAAAAGACCAAGATATATTTACTGTTCTATAAATACATTTTTTTTAAATCTTTTGATCTTGCTCTATATTTTTCTTTACTTTTCATAAGGTATTTTTATAGTTGCCCCCACTAACCTCTAAAAGAAAAAAAGAACTAGAAAAGAAAGTTCATTGGATTTGTAAAGTAGGTTCTATGAATCTGCTAAGTTTTAGCTATCCTTACCAACAGTGGCCACTGTAGCAGAAGCACTTGAAAGCAAGGATTTCCCCCAGTTTCCCCAATATCCCCATCCTGTTTGGGTCTTCTCAATGGGACCTGAGACCTTAGCAAAAGAGAAGAAGATAAGCAGTTATTTATTCCTTTTTAAATAACCAAACTATTAAAACTAATTTCTACCAAAGGAAATATATAGAAAAATTAATACATTTTTACATCACTATTTTACACAACATTCTTTTCTTTCAGTTAGAAAACGTAAGATGCTTAATGGGGAAAGAGCTGATAGACATTCAAATAAAAAATAATGTTCTGTTCTACAGAAAAGGGGATTCTTATTAATATAATATAAAAACTTGTGAGCTTAAATGGACTCCAGAATATGGTAGTGGAGAGGAAGGCCTGGAGGAACATTGTCCATGGTGTCGCGATGGGTTGGACATGACTTCGCAATTAACAACTACATTAATATAATATGAAGCATTGTTTAAAAACATTAAAAATATAGTTGTACACAATTCTCAAATTTCTTAATACTATGCAAAAAAGCTATTTGTATTTGTTAACTACATTGTGTTAATATAATTCTTCATCTTGTATGAATCAATTTGGTCAAAAATAGGAAAATAAATAAACTGTGTATTTATGTCTATTTTTCAGCAGTTAGTTACTGTATAGTCACCTATGCAAGCAGATCTATAGTAACAGAATGGTTACAAATTGCTTTCAAATTAATGCCATAAAAAGTAAGGATATATATTTCAATTATATTATTATTCCGACCTAAGATCCTAAAGTAACATGTAATTAACTTGATTGCATATGATATATTTATCTTTAAGAACTCAGGAGATATAATCCAACTTGAGATTGAAATTGATAGGTTCCGTTTAAATTACAGAATTATAATAACTGACTTTTNAAAGCAATCCGTAATGTGCTTTCTTCTCTGTAGTCATGGAAACCTCAGCAGCTGTCCTCTGTTGTTCTCTTTCCTTGGCCTCTCGCAAGACCTACAAATAAAGAAGCTGAAGTGTGACAACAGCAGCATTTTTTTAAAAAAAGCATGCACAGAGAAAAGGTCACCGACTATAAATATGGTGCTAGGCCATATGAACTATTCTGTTGACTGATAATTTGTCAATGAGAGGATCAGAAATTAATTGCTCCCAGGTTTTGTGTGGGAAATCTGTACCTGAGATAGTGTGGAATTTCTGTTCATCAAGCCTTTTGTTTTCTTAAATCCAGGGTCACCTTCAGCTATCACGTCCATTGTCTTTTTACCGATGTATTCTAATGCATCCAGACTTCCACTTATAACTGTTTTCCCCTAAAGAGAGAGAGAGAGAGATTTGCAATTTTTAAGATATGGCTTTGAAAGAAAGAAATGGTTTTATGTTAGAGATATACTGTAAGTGCACATTTGAACTTCTGGAAGCCAAATGTTCAAAATACAGGATGGATTTATATGGTTTTCCTTGGGAAACAAGGTAGCAAAATGGGACACAAATAAATAGTAGTGAAAATATGTTGACAGAAAGCAAGAATTTCCAGAGTATGCATTTATAACTCTTGAATTGGCTACATTAAAAGAAAGCTCAGCTATGAGTGTATATTAAGGGTGTCAAACTTGTGGCCTGTGGACTAGATGCGTCACGTGCTGGCCCCGCCCTGTTTAGCAAAGGGGGAGAAAGTCCTGATACGTCACATCACACCGTGACGATGCAGGTTTGACACCCCTGGTGTATACCAACACTCAATTTTACTCTGTTTCATTTCAGATCAGTCTGTTCTGTCCTAAGCTTCCTCAAAAAGCACGAAGCAGATTCCTGGTTCCGTCAAAACCCCTTTTATTAAACGAATGTGAATTCCTTTCATTCACCTTCCGCAAAGGCCTGGTAAACAGTCTTTCAAAGGTGAAGTTATGACCACACACCTTATCTAGCTTGGATAGCTGCTATGTAAATATTTTCCAAACGCAGTGCTATGCAAGGGAAAGGCTTGGCACAGAGTCTCTGGGATTCACGGACAAATCTTCACACTCCTGAAATGAACTAATGAACAAACAAACAAATTGTTTCCTGCAAAAGCCCACTCCCCTTTTGCTCCTCTTTTATTTGCTATGGGAAAGACCATTCACCATCCACTGTGGTTTTACTCCCAAGTTGACCCTTGATTTCTTAGCCGTTCTTTTCTTTCTGGCAGCTCTGCGCATGCACACACTGGGAACAGGCTCCAGCTGTTCCTCTGCCTCACCGCTGTATAGCTCCGAAGGCAACTGAGAACTCCCAAATGGCCTTGGCATCATCTCTGCCTCACAGAGATGGGGCCAGAGACACACAGCCCTCATCCGAGCCTTCCCCAGCCCCCAGGACTGGCCCATGTTCCTCCCCAACCTCCTCACTGTCCGACTCTGCTGACCGCTGGTGGGTCACAACACAGTATAACAAAGAACAACGTGTCTTGGGTTTCCTCACGGTATAGATTATTGCAATGCGTTCCATATGGGGCTTGAAGACTACCATAAAGTTTCAACTGCTACAGAATACAAGTCTTCTTCTACACAGCCCTGGGGGTTTGTAATTTGAAGGGCCCTCTCTCATTGTTTCTTCTCATCTTGTAATATCAGCCAGAGTTATCTTCTCTGGATGCCATCCATTAAACAAAGCAATCTGATATGATCTGTGGATAAGAGTTGTGGTGGGGCACATGGGTAGAATGCAATATTGCAGGCTGACTCTGCTGACTGCCAACAGTTCTTTTCTAACCAGCTCAAGGTTGACTCAGCCTTCCATCCTTCCGAGGTTGGTAAAGTGAGGAGCCAGATTGTTGAGGACAATATGCTGACTCCGTAAACCACTTAGAGAGGGCTGTAAAAGCACTGTGAAGCGGTACATAAGTCTAGGTGCTATCGCTATTGCTACCCACTAGATAGGATTTACTACAGTACTTATCCAGAGAGCAGTATTCCCCCAGAGATTCAATTGGAACCATCCCTGTTTTCTTTAAAAATGAGTCTCATGGAATCTATCATATTTCTCAGATTTGGGCAATGGTGGGTTGTCAACTGGTTTTTTTCTGCTGTTGTCTTATCTTGCATTATTTCTTTGATTTTTAATTTGTATGCTACTCAGACTCATTGAGAAGAGGAGTGGTGGTGCAAAGATACAATAAATAAGTGGGCTACTTTTTATAAGTATTTTATCCCATTCTGCATTTTAATGATTTATGATTATTACATCTTCAGTATATCTTGACATTTTAAATTAAGATATATTTTGCTTCATGAGAATGTCTGCTCAGAAAACCAAGTTATAAAATAACATGAAATTATAATAACATTCAAACACCAATGCCTTGTAAATACATTGCATCTTCATCAATTGAAGAATTTGCTAAAGTTCAAATGGCCAAAATTAGTCTAATTCTTTGTGATAGGAAAAAGCTTGTAATTCAAGACCCCTAAACAGGTCACAAATAATTTACTGGCTATAATCAAAGCAATTATTAAAGATAAAAGTAAGAAAAGAACTGTACCCCTGATTGACAATGTAATGAACCTCCACAGAGCCATGGAGAAGGTTGGAGAAAGAATCTAAAGACTATCAGGGAAGCACCAGATGCAGAAGAATATCTGCTAAATGGATGGATAAGGTTACAAAGAGATTCAACACCACCACCACCCCGGCAATTGTTTGGGGTGTAAGAGGGAAAGAAGGAAAAACACAGGCAGACTATCAAGGTTCTATTATTATAGCCAATCTCAAATATGTATAGTTGTAGTCTTTGGTGCCATCTATTTCCGGATCTGGTCTATTTTAAAGGGCTGACAGCATAAACTGAAGACACAGCAAGATCAAACTAAGACACTGTATTTTTCTGTCTATAAGATGCCTTCATGCATAGGATGCCCCCCACTTTTCTTACCAAAAATTCAGAAATCAATATTGTAAACATTAAATACAAGACATTTATTTTGCAAAGTAAGACATTTGCTTACAAGTACTGATATTTATTTATTTTTGTTTTCTGACATTTGTATGGGCTCAGAACGCTCCGACATTATCGCTCCCTGTCACATCTGGGCACTGGTTACACACTCTCCGCAACATCAGTTGATGTCAATTAAATAAGGCTCATGATTGGAGGAAACCTGTTAGCTTGTCTCTGCAATCAGAAGTTTTGCTCGTGAGCCTAGTTTGCAGAGATAAGGTATCAGTAGTCTCGCAACCACAATTCTCCTCTCAGCCTCATTCTTGTGTACAAGATGCCCCTCCATTTTTAGATAAACATTTTAAAGAAAAAGTATCATCTTATACATAACTCTTTCAATCTCACTCACCGTGCTCTGAACAGCAGAAGAAATGGTAGAAAACATTCCAAAAGCACCACTGAGAGGTGAGGGATTTTCATTCTCTTTCTTGTCATCACTTACATCTTCAGAATTGTGGCTTTCTGAAACAAAAGCATTCATTTAAGGGTTAAAACCATCCTTGAATATTTCAAAGTACCCTAACCCTATGTAGGCATAAAAAACTAAAAAGAGCTATTCTCTGAACCTAACCAGTAGTTCCTGCTGTCAGTTGTAAACATCCATTTCTATCTAGACTGGTATCAAAAACTGCAACTCTGCCATCTTCATAGTGTACAAAATCAAATATTTACCCAAACGCTCACATACATTTTATATCCTGAACAAAGTACAGCAATACAAAGGTTGCAGGTGCTTCAGGATATACACATTTCTAAGATACCAGCAACACCAATATTTCTAAGTCATGTTATTTGTTAGTAATGACAGCCAAAGGCTCAGCTTATCTGCCACAGAGTACAGATCCCTTCAAAGGTAACAAAGGTCATTATATATAAAATATTTTATGTACTAAAATGAGATCTGACCTTTTATTGCATCTCTGGCATCAGATGGTAAGTCAGTAGGGCTGGGGATCCCTAGGGATGTTTCTGCTTTTTCAATGACATTTGAGATTCCATGACCTAGAGAAAGAAGAGATAATGTTAACCCTGAGGGGAAAAAAATAAGATGAATTGCCCAAGCAAGCAAAATAAAAATCAATAGGATGCAAAGAGACTTTTTTGGGGGGGGGTGGGGTGCAGAGATTATTTTATTAAAAGTCTTAAACCAGTACAAGTACTGTGCCTAGAGGGGGGGGAAGTATTTAGTCAGCCACCAATTGTGCAAGTTCTCCCACTTAAAAAGATGAGAGAGACCTGTAATTGACATCATAGGTAGACCTCAACTATGAGAGGCAAAATGAGAAAACAAATCCAGACAATCACATTGTTTGATTTGGAAAGAATTTTTTTGCAAATTATGGTGG